TGATAGATTATAACCCCATTTGACTCGTAACTTACAATGTTTTTTTCCCCCTCAATATTTGACATTATATTCAATGTATTAAAATGAATTAAAATTTATGGCGCTGCTTGTAATTTTATTGTTCATGCATTGCTATTTTTTCTTTACTATATTTCCACCTTTCACTCATAATTCTCTACTTCCATTTCAAATTTTGAAATATTTATAAATGTATAAATAATATACTCCTCTGGTCCTTAATATAAGACTTATTTAACTAATTTGATTAGATTAAGAAAGTTGGAAAGTCAATTAATTATAAGAAATATGACATGTTTTTCCTAAAACACCATAATTATTTTCCTCAATATCCTCTTTCCCTCTTCCACTTGATTATGGTTCAAGAAAATCTATAGAGGTAATTTAGACAAAATTGATAAATAGAAGAAATAGGTCTTATATTTAAGACTAAAATTAACTCAACAATTAGGCCCTATATTAAGAACCGGAGGAGTAATATTTATTCTAATTATTGGCTGATTCATTTCACTGAAAACAATGGAAGAAACTAGTTTTCTAATTAAAGCAATCCTCTCACCTCTAAGTATACGGATGAATTATCCATTCATTACATATTCATTATAAAATATGATAAAAATTTTTTTAAAAACTACCTTAAAATTAATCTAATCCTTTGTATTTACCACATACATGTAGAAAGCCACGCTCCTAAGATTAGATAGCTATTATGACTGACGCAATCTACATGATTTCCTTAGTTCTCTATATAGTGATCCGCGCGCTGGGATTCATGAACGCTTCACTTGTAACTTTACTATTTATAGAGGCACAACGCTCTATATATACAGACACACACTCACAAACACATAGTATCACCCAATAGATCATCAAGCAGATCTAGAAGACAAAGACACAAATTAAAGAGTTTAATACATCATGAAGAGCTTAGTTGCAGACAAAACAAGCCTCTATCACACTACTGCTCCATCACTGCTTCCAAGTCTTCCATCTCTTCCTCTCAACAACAACACAAACACTAATGGCTTCACCTCCTCCACTAACATCTCTTCTGTCCCCAGCTCCTTCGTCAACCTCGACCAGTAAGAAATCAATTCAGATTTATATCTCTATGTGTGTATGTTACGTTGATAGTATAAATAGTTTATGATTTGGTTGTTTCATCTTGCTGAGTGATTCTGCAGAGGAGATCCAGTGGTGTTTAAGGCGTACTGGACGAAGATGAGTGAGGAGTGTAAGGTGGAGATAAAGGGGTGCGAGCTTCTGAGTTATCTGAGTGATCTAAGGAGCGTGTGTTGGTTTATGATGCCGGAGCTCAGAGACGCCATTAAAAGGCTTCATGCTTTGGTCGGTAACGCAGAGACGGACGATAGGCACATTGTGGTTGGAAATGGCTCCACGCAACTCTTTCAGGCAGCTCTCTTCGCTCTCTCTTCTTCCTCCTCCTCCGATGACCACATCAACGTCGTCGCTGCTGTTCCATATTATTCGGTAAGCTTCTCTTTGTTTCTCTTTCTCTCATCCAAAGTCCTTCCGTTAATCATGGAGGTTTTTGTTTATGAATTATTATTGCGCACAAATGATAAATGGTTTATTTTTGTGTTAATAGAAGTGCTGCTGATAAAAATTGTTACAAATCGTGGGTGACAATCGCCGAGCCACTAATTTCCATTTAATTTTTTAAGTCTTATCAAAGGCATCTGTTTTATTACCAGACAATAAAATTGACAAACGCTTTTTTCGGAGACAATAATAGGAAACGCACAACTAACCCATTCACATCGAGACATGCATGAACTTTCAGATTATACACGCAAAACATGATAACATGAGAGTCGGTCTTCGATAACTTGTGTATGCATATTGTTCTTGTTGGTCAATCTGAAAAATGGAATAATAATCTCTAATATTTTAAACACGAGCTTTTGGTTTAAGAAAAACAAAGAACACTGAAACATGTGCGTGGGCGCGCGCAGGAGTACCAAGATCAAACAGATATTTTGCGTTCAGGGATATACAAATGGAGTGGTGATGCAATGGAGTATGATAAGAATCAAGCATATATTGAGGTAGTGACATCTCCTAATAACCCAGATGGGAGTATAAGAGGACCTGTGGTGAATAAGAAAAAATGTGGAGTTGAAGGGAAGCTGATTCATGATCTTGCTTACTACTGGCCTCAATACACTCCCATTACTCACAAGGCCAATCATGATCTTATGCTCTTCACTTTCTCGAAATGCACTGGTCATGCTGGTTCTCGTATCGGGTAAGTCACTCTCAGAATCATGTATAATTGAATGTCTATACATAATAATGTTTGAGTCAAGGGGTTGAGTGTTTGGTTTTGGCTTATATTATTGTGAAGGTGGGCTATTGTGAAGGACAAAGAGATTGCGAAGAAGATGACCAAGTTTATCCAGATGAGCTCCATTGGGGTGTCGAAAGAATCTCAAATTCGAGTTGCCAAGATAATTGAAGTTCTTTGCGATAGCTATAAGAATTTCAAACTTGGGTCTAAAGAATCTAAGTTGTTCTTTGAGCATAGCAGACGCCTTATGAAGGAAAGATGGGAAAAGCTAAGGGAAGTTATCGAACAAAATAGTGATTTCAGTTTGCCAAACTTTCCAAGGGCTTATTGTAACTTCACTAATGAATCAACTGAGACATATCCTGGTATGTTTTATTACTTGATTATGTATTTACCTTTGCTCATTCCATTTATATATTAATTGGTTCTAAGATGTTTTGTCGGGTTTTTTTTTTGTAGCTTTTGCATGGTTGAAGTGCACGAAAGATGAAGATTGTGAGAGTTATCTAGAGAAGAAGATGAAAATACTTGTTAGAGGTGGGACCCGATTTGGATGTAATCCAAGGTATGCTAGACTTAGCATGGTTGGTAAAGGTGAAGACTTTGATGAATTTTTGAAGAGGCTATCAAGAAACACCTAAGAGATTAGGCATTAAACAGTTGGAGGGGTAGATCTAATTATATGAGGGTTATTTAGATTGATAGCTGTATTTTGATTTGTGGCTTCATGAGAGTATCAGAAAATGTCAAGCAGCTAGGTTTTAGAATAATAGAAGTATGATCTAGGTTGATTTTGTTTAGTGGAAGTTTTGTATTGCTGCAAAAGAAATTATTTACAAATAATATAAAGCATGCTTAATTTCCATTGGCTCTTGTTATTATATATTGCTCACAAGCGTTTTCTATGTTTTCAAAAGGGATTTACCTTCACACTGTAAAAGATACTAAAATAATTTCAAAACTATCTAAAGGAATGTCCACTGAGATCTTAGACATTAAGTTTTCAAAAATGACACAATGTTTTTTATATCACTAATTAACCATTAACCAATAGCAAGAAAAACAGAGATAAATGTATTGACACCTCATCATTGTTGTCTTGTTTCCCGGGCTAGAGATAAACTTTGATACATAAAACTGGAAAATAATTCAATCGGCGAATTCCTAAATTGCTTTGAATTGAGTTTTTCTTTTCTTAAAACATTCATCAATGTTTCTGCAATATTATCGGAAAAACCTTCTTTTCAATACATTGAAATTATGTAGTGACAATAATGTGGCTCATTAGTGTGTGGCAAAAAAGTAGTTTAATATGGAATGAAATCCATCATACATATCACATAGCTCTCAGCTTCTCCCCCCCCCCCCGGGGGGTTATATAATTCAAAGGGGAACATGGAATGATATATATATATATATATATATATATATATATATATAAAAATCATGGTTTCAAGGGGCGTCCAAATACCCCAAAATCACTCGAAAAATGAGGATCTGGAGTATTAAAATAAATGTTAGGTAGAAGCCCATTTTAAAAATTGCCCATATAATATTTGCCAATTGTTCACGCCCATAGTATAAAACGCTCGTGATTCGAGACCGTTGGATGCATTTCCCATGGTTTGAGTCTATTGTATTTCTCCAATTTAGATAATTTGCTTACATATAGTTATTTATTTATTCTTTAAAGCTAGGGGAAATATGGAAAATTAAAAAATAAAAGGATAAAAAAATGTTATTGGGTACGACATCATAATATCTTTATTTTAAAAAAAAATCCAACTTCACAAGACTTAAACCTGCCTAAACCTAATTATTAAATATATATGGACAATTAGAATCCAATATTTTACTAATATAAAAATTGCCTGTTGTGAACTGTACAAATCTTGAGACAATTCTAAGATACTGTCAAATACTAAATGTGAACACATCTTCTAATTAAAATTTCAATTTCAACTCACCATATTATAAGGACCACCCCCATCACATCACCTTTTTTATATGCTTGCATCTTTTATTATTTGTAACAAAAGATGAAAAAGAACAAAAAATAGTGCGCGAGAGAATGATCACTTGCGTTGCTTCAGCCCCCCACGCTCCTGCTGTGGCAAGAAGCACACCACATCTGCATATAAAATATAAAATTTAATATACATACACGGACATATATATATATATATATATAATAACATATATATTCAAGTGCATTGGCAAGTAAAATGGCATGAATTTTGCATTCAAAGGCGCTTCAAGTGAAAAAAGAGGGTCGCTCCCGCCACTTTTTAAATACTGCAGCTGATGGATTATGATGATCTCCAAAAGCATATATAATTATTTCAAATTTAAAATATATGATTTCAATGTATATTTAGTTATGTATACGTCCGACCAGAGTCCAAGAGCCTTTAACCAGCCTCCATAACCGCACCTTAATAACCAGTTGGGTTTTTTAAAAAAAAAAACTGATAACAACATCCCTAAAGAGAAACCTCATCATGATTCATGGATATATATTCATTCATAATATATATATATATATATATATAAAGAGGCGCAATGTTCAAATGTACATGTCCCTTCATGCAAACCAAGGACACACATACAGAAAGAAGATCTTAATCAGTTGCAGACAGAAAACAAGCATTATTCTCAGAGTCCCATTATAATGGGGGTAAATAATATTCTTTCTGATGCTTCTCCTCCAAACTCCTTCATCAATCTCGACCAGTAAGAGAGTTGCACAATAATATGTCGTTTGATTGAGATCGTTTGGATAATGTACACACCTATATATATGAATTGCAGGGGAGATACTGCACTGTTGGAGTCGTACTGGAGGAAGATGAAGGAGGAGTGTGCGGTGGTGATAAAGGGGTGTGAGCTTCTGAGTTATGTGAGTGATCGGAGCAACGTGTGTTGGTTCATGATGCCGGAGCTCACAGACGCCATTAAAAAGCTTCATGCTTTGGTTGGCAACGCAGAGACCGACGACAGGCACATTGTGGTCGGCAATGGCTCCACGCAGCTCTTTCAGGCTTCTCTCTTTGCTCTCTCTTCTTCTTCTTCTTCTCATTCTCCCAATCCTATCAACGTCGTCGCTGCTTCTCCTTATTACTCGGTCTCTCTCTCTCTCTATCTATCTGTCTCACATTCAAAGTTACAGTTAATGATCAAGTTCCTTTTTTTTTTTTGGATGAAAATTGAAGGGTTTTTTAATGCAGGGCTACCCCGACGAGACAGACCTAGTGCGATCAAGCCTATACAAGTGGAGTGGGGATGCGAAGGAGTATGATAAGAGCGAAGCATACATAGAGATAGTAACGTCTCCAAATAACCCAGACGGCAGCATCAGAACACCTGTTGTGAGCAACAGACGTGGAGTTGAAGGAAAGCTAATTCATGACCTTGCTTATTACTGGCCTCAATACACTCCCATTACTCACAAGGCCGATCAAGATCTTATGCTCTTCACTTTCTCCAAATGCACTGGGCATTCTGGTTCACGCATTGGGTACGCATAATACTAGTTATCTTTAAATACTGTGATGATACTAGAGGTATGCATGCTTTAATTTTGGTTCTGTTGTGAAGGTGGGCGATTGTGAAAGATATAGATATGGCGAAGAAAATGACCACATTTGTAGTGCTGAACTCCATTGGGGTGTCCAAAGAATCCCAAACTCGAGCTGCTAAGATAATGGAAGTTCTATGTAACAGCTATGAGAATTTCAAACTCGGGTCCAAGAATTCTGAGCTGTTCTTCGAGTACAGCAAATGTCTTATCAAAGAAAGGTGGGGGAAGCTGAGGGAAGTCATCAAACAAAGTGATTATTTCATCTTGCCCAACTTTCCAAAGGCCTACTGTAACTTCACTAATGAATCATCTGAAACATATCCTGGTACTTGTAATTCATAGTTCTTCATTCTTTCGTCTTTAGCTGTTCAATATTTATGGCAGTTGGTGATTCTAATATGTTGTTGCCATTATTTCTTGCTATATAGCTTTTGCTTGGTTGATGCATAAGAAGGATGAAGACGGTGTGGGTTATTTGGAGAAGAAATTGAAAGTACTTGCTAGAAGTGGGAATCGATTTGGATCAGGTCCACGTTGTGCTAGAATTAACATGCTGAGCAGAGATGAAGACTTCGATGAATTCTTGAGGAGGCTTTCAAACATCAAAGAGAATGGTTATTGAATGATTGGCAAAGTGTTACGCCTGATATTGATCTGAATTAAGGCTTGTATGTTCTAAGAAGTGATGTTCCTTTTTGTGTATTTTAGCTTATGGGCTAATGCCCAAGCCCAATTTGTCATGCTTAGTTATGTTCGTTGAGACTAGAAGCAAATGTATAAGGAGCCAATATGGTGAACTAAAATTTGAATCCCTATTAAAAGAGATGCCCACATTTAGTACCTGACAGTGTCTCGAATAAGATTACTTTCAATAGGAGGATACTTATGTTTAAGGGAAAAAAAAAAGTATAAGGAGCCACATTTCCCTCCTATTGAAATTGAGTTAATTGGACAAACTATTTTTTATTTGCACACACGATATATTAATTAGTGTCAGGTTTAAATCTAGAACGTCATCCAAGCATGGTAGATGACGCTGCTACTAGAATAATTTGCCATTGACAAGTTGAGAAGTAATTGATATTCATGACTAAGCGGTCATTTGATTAGCTTAAAAAAAATAACTACGCCTTTAATCCTATTTATTACTCCTCTGACTCTAAATATAAGACCCATTTTGTAATTGCACTACAAAATGGGTCTTATATTTAAGACCAGAGAAATAGTAATTTTCAATATGTTTCACACAAATTAAGAAAAAACTTAAATTGTATTAACTTTTAATTAAAATTCATCAACTTTCTGTTATAAAAAAAGAAAAAGAAAATTCAACAACTTTCAAATTTTATCTCTATCTAATATACATTATATCTTATGAAAACAAAATCAACACAATAAATAAAGAATAAAATTATATATTCATATGAAAAATTTCTCTCTCTACCTTATAAAGAGAACGCAAAAATTCATTCTCTCTCTACTCTATAAATAGGACCACAGGAGTGTGTGAAAAGAATTTGTCTTACAAAGTATAAGAGTGATTATTTTAAGAGCTCCATCTATCCCCTAAGTTTTGGATTTCTACTGTTTAGAATGAATCCTAATTTAGTTTTGTTGAGTGGGTTGAAAGATTTTTTTTTTTTTTTTGAACTGGGAATGAGACTAAAAAGCCGATTCGGGATGAATCCAGCACACGTTGTGGATGACATATTGGTTGGGCTTGGTCTTAATTTGATTTGTATTAAAAAAATCCAGTTCGCTCCAGTCCAAGAAAATGAGTGCTGATCAGTTTTTCAATTGTCAGCAATTTGGCGATGAACCGAACCATATACAGATGGTCCAAAGCTCGCTCCTTGTAATGCTCCTATCACATGACAAGATTGTGTTGGTCAATTGAGTTTAACGAAAAAGATTACTCTTTCATTTGAATTCCAGTAAAAAGAGGCACAGTATTGGATAATATCTCAAACAAGATGACTTTTATTGGAAGGTACCTATGCTTAAATAATATATATATATATATATATATATTCACTCTCCATTTTAAAAGAATATTCACTTAGGGAGTAAAATCTTAATTATTTTTATACAATTATATCCTTCATTACTAATATTCTATTTGATCTTAGATACAACTTATTTCTAATTATCTCACGAAACTGATGAATAAATCATTTAATATGTGCATATACTTAGAGTCTAACATTTAATTAATTATTGAGTATATGTACATCTAGCATCTTGATATTATTTCCTATGATATATCCAGCACACTGATTGTATTTTTAGTGCATTCAGCACTATAATAATTTGGGGTGTTAGATATCATTAAAAAAATAATATCAAGATGTTAGATGCACCTGTATTTTTAATTATTTGGCTAAAAACATTCATTTAATTAGCTAACTAATTAATTATTAAGTGTATAAGTGTGGCCGGTACGGTCCAACTCATGTTTTTTCTTATCATAATAATAAACATTGTGCACTCATTAATGCAATAAAATCCGAATCCTTCAGAATGTGAGTCAGGCGATCTATATTTAGAATTTTTAATATATAATTTTTTTAATAATAAATTTTTTTTTCAAAAAGTGTTAGTTATCAAATAATTTTTATTTAAAATTATTTATTTTCAAAATAAAAATTATTTAAAAAAAGTAAACATTAATTGAATATGGATAATTTAAAATTAATGTGTATTATTCATATTAAGATCAGGACTCCATGCTCAGTCAAAATGAGCATGGAATGTGCTGTCTCCTACTCCTCATGCTTCTGTCTTTTTCAACTTGTTTTATACTTTTCTTTTTGCCAGCGTTTTATACTTTTATTTAAGAAAAGACTCAGGTCAACCAAAAAAAATAAATAAAGGAACTGCTAAAAATATAAAAATAAAACATAAGAGACTAGACAAGATAAGAATAGGGATATAAGTAAACTAGGTTAGGCTAGATTTTAGCAAAGTAGGTATAGGCTTGTATTAGATATTTAAAGTCTGGGCCTGAGCCTAAACCTGAACTTGCATATAGACTTTTCTTTAAGCCTAAGTCTAAGCCATCAAAGAACCTGACAAGGCTTGAAACCTGTTTAAAGGTCTACTTAAAATATAGGAATAAGTTTAAAAATTTATACCTTCAAATTCATATATAACTTTTCAAAAATATTTAAAACCTATGTTATATCTTAAAAGTGTAGAATCTATTCTCACTTGTAATATAAGAGTCTAGTAAGAAAACAAAAAGAATGTATAGTGACAACAGTTGTCAGATCAAGTAGAAATAAGAAAAATCAATCCTCTGTTGACTAAATAAATATATTTTCTAAAATTAACCAAGCACAATAACTGGCAGGTAAAAATGGATTTTACTTTATTTGGTTTTCCTACATAAATTGAGCAAACTCTTCCCATTAAAATTATAATATTTTATTTTGACATCACTAAAATAAACTTACAACAATTATTATGATTTAGCAAACAACAAAAATCAGGAGAGAGGAAATGAGCCAATATTATCATATTGAGTGATTGAAAAAAAGAGAAATAGAAGTGAATGAGTGATGAATGAAAAGGGGCTGACTCTTTATAAGAATGTTATGATGTGAAACTTTGCGTCAAACTAAAATTTGTAATTTTATAGATAATTTATAAAATTGATTTATATTATATAATATATAATAATGCAAATTTAATAAAAAAAATTAAATAGGTCAAGCTTGTAAGCTTGTAGGCCAAGCTTTATCAACATAGGCCTAGCGTTATTTAAAGAGGCCGAAATATGAGTCTGACCTATTTACTAAATAAGTTAGACTAGACTTTATATAGGTTAGACAATAGACCCTGATAAAAGTCTAGTCTATTTTCACCCGCATATTAGAATACCACTTAAATTTGAATTGCGTTTTTATTTTCGGTGAGAGTTGTTGCGTACTTTCGACTTCCCACTTTAACCTTTTAATGCTATTCAAAATTTTTTAGCTTATATAATTAAATTTAATAATTACAAATCAGCCATCACTCCATTTTTGTTTATTAGAATATTTAATATCTACTAATTTAATTTAGAACAAATAAAAATGACTTAATTTTGCTGAAACAAAGGCTTAAGGATTTGATTTTTTTTGTGACAATTAAGGATTTGAATTTTATGAATGAAAAATCACGTTGAGAAAAATCACTAATTGAATCCGATGAGTAATAATTAAATATAACCTTACAAATCATTAAATGGTTGTGTTAAAAATATTTATATTTTTTGTAATTTTTTGTTATGTAATATATATTTTACATAAGAAGTACAATGCATTCACACTAATGTATAAAATATATATGTAACACAAATAATTATTTTAAGGGGTAGTTATTTTTTTGACCTTGAATTTTATTAGGAGATAAGAACATGTAGGATGCCGATACAGCCAAAATCTGATAAAAAAACAAAAGCAGAGAGACAGAGAAGGGGGGATTCAATCTTTTGTAGTATTCCTTGATAGGATCATTCTAACCTTCAAATAACTAATTTATAGATAATAAATTATTAGTTAAAAGTAACAAGTATAAAAATATACTTTTATTCTTAAATATGATATTGTAATAAATAAAAATAATAATAAAAGAGAATAAGATAGGAAATATGATAAGAAAGAGTATAACAAATGACAGAGAATAAATAATTAATGACAAAATGAAAAAAAAAATTAAATGGTAAGACAAAGTAAAATTAAAGTTTATAAAATGAATTACATACCTTTCTAAATTTGACGCTTATAATAGGACCTAAGGGAGTAATAAAAGCATATTTCTTCGAAGGGATGAGATGCTTAAATACTGAAAGTATACATAAAAGATCACCCAACACTAAAGAGTTTTTTTTTGCTTTTATATGTTCTAAAAGTGTATTTTCATAGCAAAAATACCCTGGTCATTATCTATCATTAAATTTAACCGTTAAATTATATAGTTTGACAGTATATTTAACAGTCAAACTTAGCAGCGCATGACGGTTTAGAATTGAAATGCAACGAAATAAAACTTTTAGGGTATATAAGAACAAAAAAAAATTCTAGAAATTAGATGTTCCTTCATGTATACTTCCGAAGTATTTAGGCATCTTATCTCTTCATCAAAAGATCCATGCTTAAATCCTAAGGGATAATATTCAATTTTGGTCCGGACGTATATGTTGAGATGCTGTGGCTATTTGAAAGGCTTTTTAAGAGCAATATTTTCTCAAAAGTGTTAAAAACGTGACAACGTCTCGGAATTGGATTCTCTCAACTATCCTTCCCATCCTCTTCCCCTCCACTACCCTCCTTTTCTCTTCACAACCATTGGATCAAAATTCTAATGGCCCAGATTTAACATCTTATAAAAATAATATTATTAAAAAAATAAATAAATAAATTTAAACTATTAAAATCTGGTTTGAACAGTTCACAATTATAATAAAAAAATTTGAAAAAAATTTGCTCTATAATAACAGTCTGTATTTATGAACTGTTCATATTAGATTTTAACAGTTTAAATTTATTTATCTATTTTTTATCATAATATTTATTTTTATAAAATGTTATAAAATATCAAATCTGGACCATTGGAGTTTTAATCCAATGGTTGTGAAGAGAAAATGAAAGTAGCGGAGGGGAAGAGGATGGGAAGGGTAGTGGAGAGAATCCAAGTCCAAGTCCCTCTTTTTCTGCTCTTACTCCTCCCTTTCTTTCTCTCATACTTTCTGATCATAAAATTTCACACTTCTTCCTTCATAAAAGCTCACCATTCTTACGACGTTGCTAAAATTCCAAGCGAGTTCAGCGTAATCATATTCCTCTAATATTTTGGGATGCCATTGCTGGCCCACTGCCATTCATCCTTCCTTCACCTTCTTTCTCAGTCATGTTCCCGACAACTTTGCACAATGACAAGATATAAGGTAGCTTTCAAACTCCGAAGCCCGCAAAGCAAAAATCTTACTCACTCTAGCTCCAAGTTAGCAGGATGGACTCACAACACAAAACAGAAGCCCTATCAGCTGTATCATTAAGTTGTAACGTAGAATGGATGCAATTTTATCAAGCAAGAAGAGAAGCGTCGCAAATGGACAGGTTCTAGATGGTTCCAATAAAATGGAGTTGGTTGGGAACCATTAAGTATTCAGCAATTTTGTGGACCATAATTTTCGGGAGTTGGATAGAGACGGCGACGGTAAGCTCTCAGTTAAGGAGCTCCAGCTTGCCGTCATCAATAAAGGTGCTGCTCTCGGCTTGTTAGTTTCAAACAAGGCTGAAACGATGGAATCGGTCTGTTTATGTTTTGGCCATTTCCAAAGGTTTGGGGATGAAGGAGGGGGTGGCTGGGTTCATTTAGAAAGATTTGGGAATGGGATTATTGAGAGAGAATGAAGGAGGATGACGGTGATGGTGGAACTGTTATGGGAAAAATGAGTTGGCGAAAAATTATTGACTTGGACAATGAGGCGGCGTGTATGAAAGTCATGTGTAGACACCAGTCAAATTTAATATTCAAAATCAACGTTTTAGACGGTGGAGTGATACTGTTATTTTCAACACTGTTAGAATTTGAATAACATTGCTCCTAAAAAAAAATTCCGAATATCCACAATTTTTTAACGAGTACTTCTAGGACAAAATTGAATATTATACCTTAAATCCTTATTACACACAAGTCATAAATAATAAGAATGACTTCTTTTTTTCATCCAAATAACAAGGATAATTTCTTAAACTCTATGCAACGAACATATTAATTATAACTTTTTTTTTGCCGATAGAAAATATTAATACAAGGTTTTATTTTCATCACTTAACTTTGAAAAATATATTTTTAATCATTTACTCCTAAAACTATTGACAAAACAATAATGATATTGAGATTTTGAATATTTATAAAATATTGTCAAGTATCTTTTATTTTGCATGTAATTAAAGATAAGTTACATACAACTAAAGAAAAAGTTGCACCCGTTGAAGATAGCTTCCGCTTGAATTTCTAAAACAAATTTTAGCCATATAATAATTAGAAGAAGAGAGAGTACTCAAATAGGGAGAAACTCAATAATCAGCTTGCTTAAAAGTCGTACAAAATAAATGTGTTGAGCTCCTATTTATTTATAGCATAAACATAACCTTAAAATTTAAAATCAAATATTCCCGAATGACGTTAAAAATATAAAATATCTGAAAAATCTTAATTAATTAATCATTAGTCATATCTAAATCTTTTCCAATAATTTTACCTATTTAATTTCCTTTTGAGTTACTTCTCAAAGAGAGTAAATAATATTAATGGTGAATATTTTAACAAGGATAACAATACACAAAGAGAGAGACGCGTGTAATCAGGAGGCAAGGAAAAGGACTCATCGTACCGCGTTCCACCTTTAAATTATATGAAGGTGCAATGTGCTCAAGGCTCATCCCAAACGACAATTCAAAGCAATATATAGAAATCAAATACACAGAGAAAGGTTATCAGGCATTTTATGAAACTGCAACAAATGGTGGCAAATCTTCCTGCACTTCCTCCCCTCAATAACAACAATGGCTTGCCCTCCTCAAACACCGACGCTTCTCTTCCTAACTCCTCCATCGTTAACCTCGACCGGTAAAAGATTTACAAACACACAGACAGAGAGTGAAATATTTATATACATATATATGTGTGTGTAGTTTCTTGTGGTTTGATTGATTATATAGAGTGATTGGATGAATTTTGCAGGGGAGATACAGTGTTGTTGGAGTCGTACTGGAGGAAGATGAGCGAGGAGTGTACGGTGGAGATAAAGGGGTGGGAGTTTCTGAGTTATGCCAGTGATTTGAAGAGTGTGTGTTGGTTTATGATGCCGGAGCTCAGAGACGCCCTTAAAAGGCTTCATGCTTTGGTTGGCAACGCTGAGACCAGCGATAGGCACATTGTGGTCGGCAATGGCTCCACGCAGCTATTTCAGGCAGCTCTCTTCGCTCTCTCGTCTTCGTCGTCTTCTTCCGATGACCCTATTAACGTGGTCGCCGCCGCTCCTTATTATTCGGTCAGCCTCTCTCTCTCTCTCTCTCATATAATAAAGTTTAACGGTAGAACCAGTTGAACCGGAAGTTCTTAATCCGGTCGGGTATACTGCCTAAGTCCGACGACAAAGAATCGGTCAAAGATCGGAGAAACGGGTCAAAAACACTGTTCAGTTTGAACTTTTTTCTTCTTCCATTCAGTTCTTTTTAAACGGTCAACCTTCCCTCAAACTCTTCACCTCTTGTCCCGTCAGTTTCGGATAAAAATAATTACTCCGATCCTTAATATAAAATCTATTTAACTAATTTGATTAGATTAAAAAAGTTAGATAAGTTAGTTAATTATATATAAGAAAAGTGACACATTTTTCCTAAAACACCATAATCATATTTCTTAATACTTTATTTTCTTCTTTTACTTGATTATGGTTGAGGGAGTATCCATAGAAGTAATTTAGAAAAAATTGATAAATATAATAAATATGTCTTATATTTAAAACGAAAATCAACTCAAGAATTGAGTCCTATATTAAAAGTCAGAGGAGTATTTCGACACCATTACGTTATAGTTAGATGATGGTCAATATTTTCTTCACCGAAGCGCAGTTGATGGAATCGAAACCCATCCCATGTATTTTTCTCTCCTAATGAAACATCAATTTTCAGAAAATCTTCAGTTTTGAGAAATATATATATATACACACTCCTCTGGTCTTTAATTTAAAACTAATTTGACTAATTTGATTAGAGTAAGGAAGTTAAGTAAGTTAGTTAATTATAAAAATTGTGACGTGTTTTTCCTAAAATACTATAATTATCTTTTTTAATACCCCTCTCCCTTTGTTACTTGATTATGGTTGAGAGAATATCTATAGAGATAATTTAAAAAAAATTGATAAATATGAGAAATAAATCTTATATTTAAAATAAAAATTAACTTTATAATTAAGTTTTATATTAAAGACAGGAAGAGTAAATTGTAACGAGTTTTCGTCATGGCATTAGCATATTAAAATACTTAGGGCCACCTACAGGGGCACGGAGTGTCAATTTTCAAACGGAGGTTGACGGGTGGCAGGCGGCGCCGAGTGTCGTCATTATATTGTCATCTGAATTTTGGATTTTTTAAATTCTGATAATCCTTTTTCTTGATAAGCATTCAACTTTCTAGGATATTACACGTGTTTAAAAATTTACTACCAAGAGGATATTTTATTGGATATATTATATGAATATATATACGACTTTGTATATATAACTTATTATTTTGCAAATTATAATTTTCTTGAAATATACTACTTTCGATCCTTACTATAAGAGTTAGTTGACTAATTTGAGTAAATTAAAGAAATTAGTTTAGTTAGTTATTTGTAATAAATATGTGTTATCTTTCCTAAAATATTCTTACTAATCAAGTGTACTGGCTAGATCTATCATTATTGTAAGAACTAATTAAGGTCTTATATTTAGAACCAAAATAAAAGTCAAATGAACTTTTATATTAAGGATCAGAGGTAACATATATTAAATAAAAATAAAATTAAAAAAAATTAAATTTTAAGTTAGATTGAATGAGATATAAGATTTTTTTAAGGTAATAACATATTGAAATAATGTCTTTATTTGTTTGAAAGAATATGGTTAAAAGAATATATTTATTTTTTGATTCTATACTCATTAAAATAATTATTTTAAAAATATAAATTAGAAAAAAACTAAACGTAAACCGTCTAGATTTGATTAGTTGATGAGCACGCAAACTCATTCCATTTCCAATTAACTAGTGGGTTTGTTGAAGAGTTAGCTAAGCGTTTTCTTTTTTCCTATAATTGGCACATTCATGCACTGCACAACTCGAAGATGATCATGACTATTAATAATGAAAGGTTTACTGATCAAGACTTTTCCACTTTCTTAAATCAAGCAGCCCAAAAAAACGCACAACATATTCTTCCTCTCTCTGTCTGTCTCAATTGGTTCGCCATGCATGCACGAAACGCGTCCTTCCTCTTTCTCAGCAATTTATATATATATATATATATATATGCCCAATATAAAATCACCAACCAAGGTTCTAGACTTGGTCAATTGCGTGTAATAGGACTCTAGCCGTCTCCTACACTTCTTCCCGTCATAAAGACGGCTTCTCAGCAAATTGACAGACATTTTTATGACGCCATTATGTGCAAATTGTGAGTACAGGGTTACCCAGACGAGACAGATCTAGTGCGGTCAAGCCTACACAAGTGGAGTGGGGACGCAAAGGAGTATGATAAGAATGAAGCATACATAGAGATAGTGACGTCTCCCAATAACCCAGATGGCAGTCTCAGAGGACCTGTGGTGAGCAGCAAATGTGGGGTTGAAGGAAAGCTAATTCACGACCTTGCTTATTACTGGCCTCTCTATACTCCCATTACTCACAAGGCCGATCATGATCTTATGCTCTTCACTCTCTCCAAATGCACTGGTCACTCTGGTTCTCGCATTGGGTACGTGCGTAATACTAATAATTAATTATCTTACTCAAGGTGATGATTATATTGTTTATTATGATTAAGTTTGGTTTTATATATTGTGAAGGTGGGCGATCGTGAAAGACATAGATATTGCGAAGAAGATGACCACATTTATAGTGCTGAACTCCATTGGCGTGTCCAAAGAATCCCAAACTCGAGCTGCTAAAATAATGGAAGTTGTATGTGATAGCTATCAGAGATACAGATTTGATGGGTCATCTAAGGAATCTGAGTTGTTCTTTGAGTATAGCAGAGGCATTTTGAAAGAGAGGTGGCAGAAACTGAGGGAAGTTGTCAAACAAAGTGATGGTTTCATCGTGCCCAAGTTTCAAACAGCCTACTGTAACTTCACCAACCAATCATTTGAAACATATCCTGGTACTTTCACCTTTACCTTAAATTGTTCTCTCTCTCTCTCTATATATATGTATGTATGTATATCGTAAGTACGTTCATAAACCCTAACATGTTGTTTGGCATTTCTGGCTATATATGTAGCTTTTGCGTGGTTGATGTGTAAGAGGGAGGAAGATTGTGGGAGCTATCTGGAAAAGAAATTGAAAGTAGTTGCCAGAAGTGGGAAGCGATTCGGAAGTGATCCAAGGTATGCCAGAATCAACATGTTGACCACAGGAGACGACTTCGATGAATTCTTAGAGAGACTCTCAAACATCGAAGACATTTAGATATACAATGAATACATGTATGCTCGAAAGAGTGGGAAAATGTTTGGCCAGCGGGTCCAGTAACTTGGGTTGCTATAATTTTACATTTCATACTAGAAGTTAATTCCAATTATTAGACAAGGAGAACATAAACAATATTAGAATTTAATTTTCCATTAATGAAAGTTAAACCATATACTACCTCTTGCTTTAAATATTAGAGCTAGTTTATAATATAAATTACACTACAAATTAACTCTTATATTCAGGATCGGAGGTAGTATTACATGTAATATGATATCAGTTGCATTATATTATTCATGACTTATTGTGAGTAATTTTACTTGTTTGAATGACATTTCGTTAAATTTCAATTTTTCCTTGTTTATATGATTTTATTTATTTTCTGTGATACAAAGAACAACTCTCAAGCCTCAAGTACGTGGTTAGCCATGTGAGGATTGAGTTTTGAATCTCTGATCGTTTGCTGAAAGTAGCTTCTATACGCTCACGCCAACCTTTTTTGGTTCTAACAAACAAATCAAACCACAAGTAAATCAAAATGGTTGTTCTTAAATAATTAGAGGCCAAAAATTATGGTATATGTTATAAAAATGTGGATATATTATACAAGAATAATAGTACCAATTTTCTAAATTAGAAGAGTTATTAATGGCTCGAGATTACAAGCAAATTAAACCACAACCTTCTATTTATAAGGAAGTTTTGATGTCATTATATCATACTATAAGATCATTAACAATAGTATCGTAGATGGAAGGAAGTTTTACCGTATGGTAACAAGGCTACGGGCATGATAAAATAGTTACCTCATTGGGTTTAGTATTGCTCTCATATAGTCATATGTCTAGTTAACACTTTTTATACATTTAAAAATGATACTTTTAGTAAATGCCTATATTTTTGGCCTGAATTAAATGACTACTTTATAAATATTAACTTTAAAAAATATTTTAAAAATATTTAAATTTGCGAGAACAACAATAGTAATCAATCTAATAAAACATGAACTACATTTGATACTTCATCCGGTTTTTATTATAAGTTTCAAAAAATTAATTCAATTATAACAAATAGTTAGTTAAAATAATAAATAAATTAGAAATAAACTTTTTTCTCTAAATATATCTTTATAATAAATGAGAAAAAGAATAAAAAAGAATATGTGGGGAAATGTGATAAGAGATGAATAATTAAAAGCAACATTAAAAAAATTATATTAAATGCTAAAACAAATGCAAATTAAAACTTATAAAATGAATTACAATTTTTTTTAAATTTGAAACTTATACGTAACAATGAAAGGAATACTATTTAATAATTAATTTTTTCATTATATTTCCCAAGAAAATAAATTAATTATTGTTCTTATTAATTAAATGATAAGTTTCTCGGCAAGGGTGAGAAGGGAGGCTGATTTTCTGGCTATATCAAAATTTCGTTTATGCTCGTTAAAAAGTGCCATGTGATCTTCTAGAAGTACAAATTTTCAAGCCGTCATTGAAAAATCACTTTCTTCGATGTGGCCGAAGACAGCTATGGATTCCATTTGCCGAATTGCTAGACGACGAGACGCAAACACTTCGTGAGGACGCAATTATTCCCTGTTCTATTATAATTCTAAATACAAAACTTTTTTCATAATTTTAACTATAAAATTTATTTTGTAATATAATTTATAGTATAAACTGAGTTTTACGTTAGGACAGAAGGAATATATAGTTCTGGTAAATTTAATTTAATTTTTTTTATCTAATTTATCAGATATGAGATGATAGTTTTAAATTTTGAAATCTCATAGTATTAATTAAGATATTGACCCAGGAGAAGCGGGCTAGTTTACATAGATGATGAGAGAATGAATATGATATGTTTTAAATATAGATGATGAGAGAATGAATATGATATTGCTGGCAAAAAGAGAATCAATATATTATATTTGAGTTTCAAATTAGTTTAGCCAAATATGAATTCTAAATTTGAGGGTTAACAGATTAGTTTAACCATATTTTATTATATTTATTTAAATTAAATATATATTTGAAAAAACAAAGTGGATTTGAAGAAATTAATTAAGAAAATAATGACGGAATATTTGAAAGTGAACTATTTTTTATTGTTTTAACTGAAATTGTTCATTTTATCATTTTATTACCAATAATGACATTTATTACATTTGAAACATTTTATTGTTTTTTTTTTACCAGCAAACATTTTATTGTTGATAGTAATTGAAAACAACTATATTATTATTATTTTTTAAATAAGCCATATTAGAGTAATGTCTTTGAATATGATACATACATTACTATGTCACCTAAAAGTCACAACTCTGAAATTCTGCATTAATTTATTACAATCCTTCATTAAAAACGAAATATTCCACGGAAGTCCAAGCTGATGCGCCATGAGCCTGGGAAAATTAGCATCCTCCGCAAGAACAGTGAGCCCAAACAAGAATGGTGATACGATCACATTCTGATTGACATCTCTAGCCTTTTGCTCCTCCCTAGCAATCACTAGTTGTTACCTGAAACAACACGGAAACATGAAAGGGAGTCCTATAATTACTGTGCTCTTTCTTTCTCACCTTAGAAATTCTGGTTAACCAATCCTGAATCCGATTGTGACGAGCCTCCTGAGTATAAGATCCAGGTGAATGCTGCCTCCTGGGAAACTCCTGAAAACTAAAGGTCTGAAATTGATTCATCATTCTAACATTAAATAAAATCTGTTGTATAACTGTTATAGGATCAGAAGAACTATTATTGTGTACTCTCTGATTTCAGGCCATCCACATGCAGTACAAAGACCAAGCAACATAATCAGCAACATCATTTGCATGAGAAGTAATTATTTGCCAAATGCAACAGTTAAGATCAGTGATGTTCCAGAAGTCAATTCTGAAGCCAATTGGTAATCCAAACCAGATAGACCTGGCCCATGGACAAGCAACGAATAGATGAGTAGGAGATTCAACAGCATCCGAGCAAAATGAACATTGCTGATCAACATTCAAATGATTTTACTGGTAACGCTTCATTCAACAATTTCCACAAAAATAATTATACTCTGGGAGGCCAATGATACTTTCTCATCATATCCCAGAAGGGCGAGCACTGAAGATGAACAATGGAATTTTCAGTTATTTGGAAATAACCGTCCGCAACAGAATATGCACCAGACAAATTACCCAACCATAAGAGTGTGTCCTTCTCATTGAAAACAGAAAACGGGGTCTGCAAAATGTTCTCCATAGTCTGACTATCATAAAGCAATTTCAACAAATGTAAATTCCAATTAGGATCCTTTGTTTTGCAGTAACAAGTCCCCCACGCAACTTACAGTAATTATTGGGCGAACAACCTCCCTTGGCCACCAATAATGGCCAAAGATATTTATGCTTCTTCCCGACCCCACATTCCACCTAAGGTCATTAATGATAACGGGCTGCATATCTCTTGACGCTTTCCGGAAAGGTGATTGTATTGGAGGATTCGTGGATACCTTGTCATTCTCCTGGCTATCAATGTACTTTGGTCTCAAGAAGTCGCTTTTATCCCATCACTATTTCATTTGGCCAAATAAAATCACCTGAAATCATTAACCTGAAAATTCCCAAAAAAAAAAACCTGAAATTATTATTTTTGAATTTAGGAACCTAAGAGTTGGAAATGATAGAGAAGGAAGAGATGTCTAGTCTGGTATTTGGCAAATGTAGTTAAATAACTAAAATGTCCTTACATCATATTCTTGAAAAAAAAAAAAGCTATCAAACTTGTTGTTACCAGTATATTTTTTGTTATTGACTGTTTAACTTTTATCATTGTCAGTTCATAATTTATTAATAAACTTTTTGATATGAGAACATTTTAGTCATTTAATTATATTTGTAAAATATCAAATCAGACACTTCCTTTCCTGGGTTTTGAAGTTTTAGGTGCTTAATTTGGAATATCACATTTTTCAACTTCTTTATTTGTCATTTTCCCATTAAATTATTCTTTCTTTTTGTTTTTTTTTTTAATCATGTACCAAAGGTCCCTTTTCATTTTCCTTCTTTTAATTTCTTCACTGCGGCCACTACAATGGAAAGGAAATGAGAGAAGTAATCAAAATTAATCAAAACCAACAAGCTATTGATTGAAATAATAAGCAGTTTGTAAGGAGGAAAATACAAGTTCTAATTCCAATAAGTACATTTGTTGGGAGTGTTTTAACCTCAACACTTCCAACTCACAGAGATTGGTTTCAAGTCCAAATCAAAATGACTTGGGGATACTTTGAGTTACGTTTATATCAAAAAAGTTCATCAAATGTTGATGCATAGTTTGAGAACAAGCTTAATCTTAACCGGAGAGCTTATGATGTCGTCCATGGAGTGGAATACAACTTCCACTGAATAATAATTCCAAAGTAAATTCTGTGCCTCTTTTAGGTCCAAGTTCCAATCCAGAAATGTCTCGGACTTCCTGACAAATCTGGCCAAAATTCCAGGCACATTCAATGGTGGCACTTCCTTCAAAAGGTTGGGACTTTGAAGCTCCTTTAAAGGGTGTGTTTAAGTATATATTTTGATTTATTAAAAAGAAGCAGATTCATTTCCCCCGCACAAAGATTAGGATGAAGAAATTTCATAAACTGTCAAGCATCATCATGTTTCTGGAAAGAAAATAGATGACGAAGACATTTAGTTCTTTAAATTAAAAAATAACCATTTCTTTTATCTTTAAAGTTCATCCGGCATCCTGATATTTTTTCAGGTATATTATTCAACATTCTAAAATATTTTATGATTCATATCTAACATCTTAAACTATTTTGTCAACTACTTTAGGGGGGAAAAAAATCTAAGGAACAGTGATAACAGAGCAAAAAGCAGAAGAAGTTCTTCTTCTTAAAAAAGTAAAGGTAAAACGGCTCACCTTCTTGGATAGATATGGTTGAATTGCTGAAAGAGGCTTGTGGTCTAACTCACCATCTTATTGGATAGGCATAATTGAACTGGTGGAAGAGTCTTCTCATTTAACTTTTTAATTCAACGGCTTTCAGACGGAATCTAAAATAAATATGCAAGAAAAATTTTGCTCCGGCTTGTTTGATAGTATTTCAGGCTGTCAAATTGCAAAACTAATTCTACTCTCAAACTTTACAATGGCTGTCATGATAAAAATTTCCAATTACGGAAGTAAAAGATATAAGAAAACGAATTAAACAATTGGAAATAACGAAAAGAATCAATCTGCTTTCCGTGGATGAAAACATATTGTAATCTGGTTCAAAGGCTAATCTCCATGCATGAACATGGGTCCTCATTCACTGTGATCAACATATTGTGATGAAATATCGATCA